AATAAAAGGCTTCATAGATTTGATCGAACAATACCTTCTCATATAATTTCGATAAGGAAGTCAGAACAGAAACTGGACGATAGCAGGTCTTATCCGTCATACTTTCCTTCTTGAAAACAGGAACAACGTCACTGCTTTTCCAAACTATTGGCCATTGACGATTGGTAATAAAATAATTGATTAAACGGGTAACCGGCTCGGCAATAACAGGTGAGGATAAACGAAGTAGCCTCTGAGATATCTTATCGCAACCAACAGCCTTGCGAGGGTCAAGAGTATCCAAAATTTTCCTTATGTAGCCAACATCAACTGGGACGAGGTCAAAAACATCATCACAAGTTTTCTCAGCAATGACTTTTACACTAGGATGATCAATAAACTCAACCATTTCCTTACTGTCACCATCACTCCTGGACACCTCGCAAAAGTAGTTGTTGAACATTTCAGCCACCATTAATGAATCGGTAATTACACGCTCATTCTCAATCAGAATTACTTATTGACTAATCCTCCTTTAGTAACGTATATTATTGTCATCAATGTTCCGGCTATTTTGAGAGGAGGACCCGTCAAGATACCGCTTGAAAGTTCTTTCAATAATATGCAAAGGAAAAGAATTACGTTTTAAAGTGTCGGAAAGTTTCTTGAGATCGTTTTGAAGGCCGGAAGAGGTGTTGTGGATTTTGTGGATACGGTGAATAAGAGTTCGGATAAGGCCAATTTTGTAGCATGATGGAATAAAACTAAAGAAATTTGTTAGGAGATCAGAGTAGGTTTTTCTACGAAAAACTGAAAAAACACAATCATTCGAAGAGTTGTCGATAAATATATCAAGAAAGGAGAGTTTACCATCATTCTCTTTTTCGAAAGTGAATTTTATGTTGGGGTGCCGTGAGTTAACGTAATAAAAAAATGACATCCTATTCATTGTGGAAGACACAAAAGGTGTTGTCAACATAACGTCTATAAAGTAGAAGGCGAGTCGAATGGTTAAAATTATTTAGCCATGTGTCCTCGTGGAAACCAAGAAAAAGATTAGCGAGGATGGTTGCTAACGGAGAACCCATCGCTACCCCATCAACTTGATCATAAAAATTTCCTTTTAAAAAGAAAATGAGTAAGGGAATGAAAACAGTTTCTTAAGGTCGGATTTTTTATCGAAAATTTAGGGTCATGCTTGAAAATAAGATCAACAGCAATATCGATAGTTTCATTTAACGGAATATTGGTAAAAAGACTTTCAAAATCAAAGGAAATGAGAAACTTGCTGTTAAGGTCGAAGGAAAAATAGCGAAATATAATCAGGGAGAATCCATTTCCTTTCTATATCGGCGCAGCTGCCCTTGTAGACTTGCTCACAAGTCGCGCTTTTGAGCGCGTAACACGACGGTGAGCGCGAAGCGCGAGCGAGCCGAGCCGAGCGAGCGAAAGCGGGTCCTACCACACCAGAACAGAAAACCAAGCAAACGAATTTGAGAAAGTCTACTGTCCCTGGTGAATGTTTGCTCAACTTCAAACGTGAGATAGAAATAACAACAGTCAAAGACAAGAGATGTCATTGTTTTTTTTCCCCTTTTTGAACCGAAACTTTTTATTTCAGCGCCTAGTATTACAATAATTATAATATTTTCTAATTCTAAAATGACTCCTGGCATTAATCTATCACTTTATCCGGAAAAGCTACTCTCAGTGAGTCACTCCTTAAAAGTGGCAAAAGAGCTGAACAAAGACGGCTCTTGCTGACATTCAGAAATAAGAAAATACTAAAATCACAATGAATGCAAACGCTATTCGCTTAATTGGTGTAATAAAATGTAAACAAGCTACCATCTTAGTGATATTGCAGTTTTCCAAATCAATAAATTGACATAAAAACAATGAACAGAACTTCATTACTTTTCTCTCGATTTTTACTTCTACTGAGTAGTTAATCGCATGGGGCTTGGTAAAATTAAGGATTAATATCAAGCGTGTTTTCAGAAGTTGCAGAAATTGCCCGAGTAAGTGATATCAATCCTAAATTTTACGAGGAAAGCAATTACATGTCATTAATAAGGGCAATTTTTTTCCCATTTACAACATAGAGGGAAAAATCACTAAATGCTAATTGGCTGAGACAGAGGGCATTTTTACTGTTCACATAAAATGAAAACTGGAAGCCAATCAGCGTTTTAGTAATTTAAGCGTCTATGTTAATAAGGTGGTTAATACTTATATCTATCTAGGATCATCTACATTCCCTATTCATATAAGCACTACTTGAGTATTAACTATCCATTGAGCTAACCGCCTCCCGGTTAGCTCAATGGATAGAGCGCCGGACTGTTGTGCGGGAGGTCGAGGGTTCGAGACCCGGCCGGACCACCACTCAGGGTCTTAAAATAATTGAGAACAATTTGCTAACTTTCTATAACTTCAAGAAATGGTTAGATATTCTAGTCTTCTCGGATAGGGACGAATAAATGGAGGTCCCGTCTCCTGCAGGGTTGGGGTAGGAAACGTTAATTTCCCACACACGAGATTACTGTGTGGTGGATGTCCTCCCCTAGGGTAACGTGCTTACCCAACGCCTATCAACAATCTGGGCGATGTACTGTGCTTGACACTCCCATTAATTTCCGGCAGGGTAGGAAACAAAACTAAAATTACTGAAACTCATAAAACTGAGTCTCACATAGGAGAGAAAGAAGACACTGATTGCAACTAAAGCAAAAACTCTTCTTTCCTTACACTCTACTTCTTGAGTTTTCTACATTAACCCCCAAACAACCCTTTTTAAGGTTGCATCCTTTTACTGAGGGGTGCTCAGAAGAGGCATATAAGTCAATAATGCTAACCTCTTCTTTGTTCCAAAATTTTCATGTATTCCGTCCAATGTACTATACATATCAGCACGGTTATTTTAAGGAATGAACCTGTAGCAAGTCCCCCCTGCCAGCTTTAATAATAGAAAGAGAAACATGCAAAGAAAACGTCTCAGCATCGAAGGGTGGGGGGGAGTGGAACCAAACCGGTCCGACTAGCAATTATATCATTTACAAGTGAGCTACAGAGAGTTCCCTCAAATTCTTAGACTATAAAAAAATATGATCATGATGAATATTTAAGATTTTAAAGGATACATAAATAAAATGTTTAAAAATAATAGAATACATGTCAAACAATGATATGTCATTGTTTGACATGTATTCATAATGTCCTAGGTCGTCATTTTGATTAGTCAAACGCTGAAACGGAATTGTCTGCTCATTTAATTCACCACGGGTTACCAAATCAGCGTTATTGGTGCCAGGTTACTTTTAGGTTCTTGTAAAACCCATATCACCCTTGGGAAAAGAGGGGCAAAAGGGAGTTAATTATCTTGCCCAAGGATAGAACACATTTCCAAGTAAACGCGCTCGACTTAATGCCTGTATCAAATACTAGTTTGATGCATCTCCACCGACAACGACCAGCCCTGGCTTTAACGCTATCACTTACCATCACGTGATCTTCACTTGCAGCGCGACGCAGTATTGTAATCTTTATTTAGACACGATCAATTCATCAGCCTATAAAAATACATATCACATACGCTAAGATATTTAAAATTAAAACTACATACTATAACACTAAAGCTGTTTTCCGTGAATGCCGTGCGTTAGACTTTAAAAATGTCATTGATCTTACGTTTAAATAACCCCAGAGACTCTGTGTTCCTTATATCGCGTGGTAAACTGTTCCATAATGTGGCGCCATTGTAGCTAAAGCTTTTTCTGTAATAATTAGTGCGCGGTAGTGGAACATTAAGCTTATTTTCAGAGTCCCTGAGGTCATAAGCAGAGTCACGCCACGTAAACTTTGAATATAGATACCTTGGAGCTAGCCCGTGCAGACATCTAAACATCATGGTGGCTTTATGGATTTCCTGCTGGCGTGCAAGATTTTTCCACCCTAAAAACTCGAGTAGCTCAGTTGCATCAGCATCATAGTTAGAGAATGTCAACACACGGGCTGCTCTATTCTGCAATTTCTGCAGTTTGTCTCGTAGCGTTTTCCCACAGCTACCCCAAACAATGTCACAGTAATCAAAGTGAGGTTTTACTAAAGCTTGGTAGATGAGATGTAAGGTTGATGCTGGGATCAGGTGCCTAATTCGCTTTAGGGCCCCGATACCAGAGGCGATCTTTTTCGTTAGTTTTTCGATGTGACTATGCCAATCGAGTTTATCGTCTATTATTACACCAAGCGATTCGTCTATCCAAGGATACCAAATATGACGTACCTCTAAATATCTCACTTCTCCCTTCCAAACACACCCATCCTCCATGAAAGTGCAGTGAACGACGAGAGCAAGTATTTCACGGCGCATAAATTTGTCTGGGAAAACCTGTAAAACATACATACCGTGGGTAACCATGAACAGCACTGATCCCAAATCTGGATCAATGACAGTATCTGAACAACCTGCGCACCTACCCCTCCCCTAACTCAACATCAATCCTAACCTATCAATATCGGTTGGCCGTTGTTGGTTCAGGGGAGGAGTAGATACGCAGTTAATCAGTTACTATTTTTGATCCACAAATCTCACATTAGATGCAAAATGGTTTACGGTAATAAGAACAAAATGTTCACTCATTTTCATCTCGTGTTCTAAAACGTTATTATATTAAGCGATCATATCGTGTCATCGTCGAATGTATAGGACACCTACAAGTAGAACTGTACAGGTACCAACATGAACGATTGCTTTCATCACCAAAGTGAAAGAGATCATTGCAATAACGTGACATCTTATAAGTCTCCCCCCAACTTGACAATTACGCAACACGATTAATGTAATTCAGATTAATTGGTGTAAATTCCTTTAATTTGAACTTTGATTTGCCCAAAGCTATGAAGCATTGGAGATTACTAAACCACCGGGTGAAAACAGGTAAAAACGTTGTCCAAAACGGCTTGGCGTTATGGACAGGTCTCTATGCAGTGTCATCATACACTCATAACTGGGAGTACTAGCTTCTGAAAAATATGGGAATGTGCTCTAAAGGAATTAATTGGTAATGAAGTACCCATTTGGCGAAGACGTAACTAGAGGTGAAGTCCAGTGCAAGAGCTTTCCACGAGGACTTTGAGAAAATCATTGGTGCCATAGAGCAGGGTGAAAACCAAGTATGACAAGACTATGACTACTTTATCAACATACCTCGTTCTGACGAAGACTGGTTTGGTCCTTTACACAAACCATCACAAGCGTTTGCTGATCCCTAAAGAAGAGGTTATCCGTAATGTTAGTTTACCTGGAATTCTGAAATAAGCGTTGCTTGTTATGTTATAGTTAATGGTAGGAAACTGTTAGGCAAACGTTGAGGGTACGCCTTTGTAATTGGAGCGGTCATCCAGACCCTTAGATAAGGGGGAAGGGGGGGGAAATGACAACTTTCATACCGGTGAATGTGATGGTGATCTTTCTTGTAATGGGAAGAGGTTATTTCCTTAATAAAATAGAGGGCAAAATTACTGAATGCTGATTGATCAATGGAAAAGGTATTTTTTCTTAATTTTGCTTGAGAAGAGGGCAAAATTACTAGCTCATGATTGGTACTCAGGTTGCCTAGCAACAGCCTATGCTATCGAAAAGTTGTTGCTGAAGATTTTTTGTAACAATGGCGACTCGTTTCGAGATAGTTGACGAGAAATATATCGAAGAATTAAAAGACAAGAGTGAAAACGAAAAGACGAGGAAAAGCACGGAGTACTGGAAGAACGTTTTTAAAAAGTGGGCGAATGAAAGAAACTTCCAAGCAAATTTAGAAGAGTACGAGAGCGATATCCCCGACCGAACACTGGCGCAGTTTTATGCCGAGTTACGAAAAGAAAACGGGGATGAATATGAGCCCGACTGCCTGAAAGTAATGCAGGCATCACTGGAGAGATATCTAAAATCAAAAGCCTATCCAAAGTCCTGGTATCTTTGTGCAAAAATAAAATCTGATTCAGCTTATTCGTGCGTTTGTGGCCATTGATTCTCTGTCACCTTTAGAGAAATTTGGGGGTACATTTTTGGCGTTACAATTTGATATAAAGTTATTCTCAGTGAAATTTCTTTCACCCATCTGCCGATCAGTCAGCTTTATCTCTTAGCTATAACATCTGTATAACATTTTGGAATCTAGGAAACTCAGTGAAACCTGTAAGAGAGACGGAGGTCGTGGGAAACGGGTTAATTCCACGCAGGAGTGCGCTGGCACTACCATTAGGCATGAGCCATCGTATCCATCTCCGAATTTTATATAGTTAAGCTGTGAAAACATTAAACGCAGGAGGACCTTTGCCTATTCCGGCCATTTTCTTTATTGTATCATGCTATTTGTCGTCTCGGTCTTTTAAATTTAGCGCCCTCGCACCCGTAAATGTCCCGGATGTGTCATACAATTCTGCCCGATGTACAATTAGAGCGCTCTTCCCTTGAGTGTCGAAAAACCGAAACCGAAGTGATCAAAACTACACATTAGAACAAAGGTCAATATCACAAAGAGCTAATGGATTTTCTTTTAATACAAACAATCCTTTCTGGGGTGGGGAAACGTGAGTGGCCAGTTTGTAATATGAAAATGAGTGGATTTGCGGCCATGGTGGAGTAATTATTTTTTTTGGTCAATCACAGAGCTTAGTGAAGCAGAATCAAGACAATCTCGTTTACTTGCGACACTCAACTGAAAATGGCTCTGACAAAAAAGAGACTTACTGAATAAGACTTGGTAAGCACGATTGGCAATAGAAATGTCCACAGCTCGTCTGCATAGCCTCTCTCAGGAGAAAGTCACAAAAGCTGCAGAAGTACTTAGCGTCGATGATGTTCTTGTCTAGACTTAACAAAGGGTATCCAGGCATTCTCTGCTTTCTTTTGTTCTCTATTGCTTAGGATGGGTGAATTAACACCAAGGTCGAAAGGTCATAAACTCTACCAACAGGCAGAAAATCCTCTTTACTTGACACGGATTAAAATCACTTTGACCAAGGTATCTACGAAAGTTAAACAAACATAGGTTCTTCATCAAACAATAGGCAACTTACTTCCCAAAGCTACAACTAGGGCTATTGCTACAGCACAACCCCTAAACCCCCTAAACCGCGGATTACTCCTAGCCGGATTTCGTCGGGTTTCGTCAACGGCAAGAGGCACCGTGACGCAAATAATCTTGCTCTATAACACAAACATAATCCAGCCTACCCATCAAGTCTCAGTGCTACTTGTCGTTTGAGGATGATCTGGAATTTTCCCTTCCGAGAGGGAGAGACCTCTCATTTTGGATAAAAATCGCTTAGCAACCGAGCCTAAAAATGTTTCTATCGATCATCTCACAAATTGGCATACAAGCTACATAAGTTACTGAATACGCAACACCTTTCCTTTTGAAGACAAGGGAAATGGTATTCCTGACGCCAAAAGAACTACGCCAGAGCGACTTTCACCTTTGGTGCTTCTCTCTTCGTGCATACCTAACGACTAAACACTCGTTCCATCTCTGCAATAAATAGCATCTGATTTCTCTAGGCGATTTATCAGCTTGAGGATACCCTAGCGACAAATCATGTTATCGAAAAAAAAAAGCCATTGATAACTCAATTGTATTAATTTCAAAAATTGATTGTTACTTCTTTTAATCGACTTAATTCAAGTTTAAGATAAGGCTTACCAAATCTTGTTTTAAACCAAGCGTCGGTTACAGCTGGTTAACATAGGTCACGTGGTTGCATTGTTGTTTTTGTCTGGAAGACAGAGCAAATCAGCATTTAATTACATTAAGCATATAAATTATACGTGAATTCAAATTAATGATGAGACTCGAAAGGAAACTTGAATGCAATAAATATTTTCCCAGGGCTTCATATTTCTTCGAAAAGACTATTTCGTACAGTCCGAAAGCAAAGATGAGATGTTTTAAGCAATGGAAAAAGGATAAAACGCTCTGGCAGGCTGCTGATAAAGCACAATTTCTATAGCATTGAAAAGAACTAGAGGTTGTATAATAACGCTAGAAGTAAGTGCTGCAGAATTTTTGTCTCAAATGCAAAACAGAAAACCTGCTGCATTTCACTTATTAATGAATATACTGCCTAACTGACATTCAAAACTGATTAAATGGTGACAAATGATTATATTAATAATAATGTTGATGATAACATTGGTAATCCAATAATAATTTAAAGGGGCTAACTCGAAAGCCCATATCCTCTGGGCTCCAACAATTATTACCTATGCTTCTTTCATTTTCGCCTGTTGATTATATATAGTTTTCTTATTTTATCGTTTCATACAAAACTGATTTCTGCGTTTTAGCGTTTTAGGATATCCCGTCATTCCTTGCCTTAAAGCTATTCCGCCGATCCCCCTATCCACCGTTCCTCCATTCCATCATTTTGTTAAATAACTCAAGGAGTTGCTCTCTTCGTAAATTTGGCGGTTCTTTTCGGCATAAGCCGCTAATTCAAACAGTTAAGTGCTCTTTTGAAAGAAAAAAATTCCTCCCATGATGTGCAGTTCACATTTAGCGAGAGATTATGCGTCAGTGGATACCACAAAGAAGTTAATCGTCTTTTGTAGTGTCACGGCAAGAACTCAAAAGTTTATATCTTCGGATCTACATAATTTGCTGATTCAAATGGTAAAACGATCTCTCTTCGAAGAAAAAAAAAATTCCACAAAATTTCATGATGCGCCGATCACACCTATCAATTTCTTTTTCTAAATTGTACGTAATCTTGAAATGATTGCTAGATGTTTGTCGTCTTCTGCTGTTTTCCATAGTGTCATGGCAAGATCTGAAAATGCTATTTGCTAGTGGCTATAAGCAAGATTTCACAGAGGGAGAGAACTCAACTTTTCATCGAGTACGAATGTCGAACGACTAAGTTACTCCGAAACAATAAGTAGCAGTGTGAAACATCGGTCAAAATTGGGTCAGATCGGAATGATTGTTACACTCACTCACTCACCCAGTCATCTACACGACATATGAGGCTTCGCCTCCCAAAGGAGGCAATAGCCATACAAAATTGGTTTTCCCTCAAAAATAAAGAGCGAATGCATGACAGAGAAACACATGCAAAACGAGAGTGTAAAAAATTAAAGAGCAGTCAAATAAGAAACAAAATAATGTTTTCATAATATCATTTTGCTGTTTTAGCAACGGCCTAAAGTTGTTGTATACTTGTTAAGAATTATTAGAAATATGACAGTTTTCCAAATTGGCAATTATTTTCTTTCTCAATTACTTGGGCATTTTTTACGTCGATAGAATGTCTTGAGACCAAGCGTCGGCTCNCGAACGCATTTCATTCCACTAATTTATTCTTGTTTTTCTCGTTGCCATGTTCCCACCAATAACTTAGCTCCATTTTCTGCCTTTAAAAGCACACACAACCCACAATTCCTCTATTCGCTCCGACGAAGGGCTAACGCTCGAAACGTCAGCTTTTGTAATCGCTACGGTGGCCAATTTACCGTTTCAACTCTGTTGATATATCCAAAATATTTCCCGGGGCTTGATATTACAATAATTAAAGGTGCTGACTAGAAAGGCCATGGGCTCCAACAATGATTGCCTATGCTTTTATTAATTTCGCCTGTTAATTATAAGTGATTTTCCTATTTAATGCAATTCCATTTTTAGGAAACTTTTGTTTCATACAAAGGGCATTCCGCGTTTTAGGACATTCCGTTATTCCTCGTCTTAAAGGGAACCCCCACTCTTTTTTCAGATAACGCTTAAAATGCTCAAAATGTTCCTTACATCGACTTCTAGTTTCCTGTCTTCGATCGGCAGTCGACATCATTCAGAATTAAAACCTGGCGCTTCTCAATATTCTTCGTCTACTATTTCACTTGAAGAGTACTCCGGCTCCAACTGATGGCAAAGATCTGTGACACATTCACTAAAATTTCCTTCAGGCAACAGCAATATAACATCAACAAGAGTGAAGAAACTACACCGCGAGTGTACCGAGCGACCATTACACGTCATCAGCCCAGAGTGCATTGCTCACTGTGACCAGGCTCACAATTGTGCATGACACTGCAATATATTCATCATCATGAGTTTTCGAATTACATCTGCAGAAACTATCTCCTATGATAATCAAATCATCCTACACACGGGATTTGCATCATAAATTTCCTTTAGGTCACACTATTACACCTAACTTCCAAAATCTTAAAGTATTTCCTGCTATTGTTCGATTCCTTATAAAAGAAGTACAGTCAGTTAGTTAGTTTAATTCAGTATTTCAGTGTCAAGACCTGCACTTACAAGCTCAGGACCTCTTGGTCAGAAAAAAATAACTCCAGTGTAACCTCAAGGTGGTGACCTATTTTACTGAGGATTTGGTGTGTCACATTTGACCTTGTTATTATGTCTTAGAGTTTATTTATTCATTTATTATTAAAAAAATATTTAAAGAGGGAGCCCAGCTCGCCATAGCGGTTTTAGTTTAAGATCAAGAATAATACAGTTCGTATGTACTTATCTCAATCCAATTGTTTAGTCTTTGCCTGAATCCTCAGTAAATTCATGTTCAAAATGTGTCAAGATTGCATTCAGCTTTCAGAACATTGTATTTATCTGTACACTGGACATGTTATGCGATACTGTTTTAGACTGAGTTCATTGGTGAAATCGGATATTTCACTGTAGTCTTCATTGTTTCATTCATCAGCACTGACAGATGTTGTCCTGTCACAGAATGATATGCTGCCAGTTTTCCTAGCTCTATGTCAAAGATAAAATATGAAATTGCTAATGTAATTAGTTTTATTTAATATTATGCTGTTTTGAGCTATTGTTTTATCAGTTTTCACTTGTTTTCAGTTATTTTATATATAATTCTAAGATTAAGAATAGCTCACCATTCAATAGTTCTATGTCACACAATGATTATTGTTCTGTCATGCAATACTTCAAAATTGTCTTCTTTGTTAAATTTAGTGCATTGCCATCATATGACAATCAATTGTATTTCAGTAGTTGTTTCATTTTCATTATTTTAATTATTTTATTGTAAATTATCTGTTAGTGATTTGCTATTTGTCATTTGTTTCCTTTTGCTTGCAATCACCCTTTTTTTCTTTGTGTACTTTCCTGTATAAATAAATTTTATTGTGGCTATAAGTCTTTCTCGTTATTCAAATAACAACATCAGAACCTGTCTCGGTCACACCACTATTTAGGATGGCGACCAAGAGAAATTCGAGGTGGCTGTAAAAACCCTTTTTTGGAAAGCAATGAAAAAATCACATTGCTTGGTAAGGCAATTTTATTTTTTACAGATCTATTAAGAAGTACATTTGGAACATTTGGAGCGCTATTTGTTAAAAGAGTGGAGTTCCCTTTTTAAGATTTCCATCATTCTGTTGAATAATTTAGGTGTTGCTCGCTTCGCAAATTTAGCGACTCTTTTCGGCATAAGTCGCTGATTCAAACGGTAAAATGCTCTCGCCTTAATATCTGTTTACCATCACGAGTGATATGCCGATTGAAAATAGCAACACTGTCAGGTGTTACCTCTAATTAACATTATAACATAACCAAAGTAAAGCGCGCGCTCTGATTGGTCAATTTACCGTCCCCCATTTGCCCATGGGTGTACGCTGCTGACGTGAGCAAATGCAAGACTATTTTTCCGCGCTTGCTTGTTTTTTCTGGTCACGTAAGATTTGTTAAATAAAAGGGAACTCTTTAGCTACAATGCATCAATGTTATGTTATAAAACAAATGGTAAACACCACAGCGTACACTATTGAGTTATGGATGCACTTAGGAGGTTTGCTAAGCACTCAAGCTACAGTCGCTCTCGGCTGTCACCTCGAGCGACTCTTACGCTTCTTTCGTGCTTAGTAACCTCCCGCGTGCATCCATAACTCAAGAGTGCACGCTGTGGTGTTTACCATTTGTTAAGGTAGCCAGACTTTCTATAAAACTATTTTAACAAAAGAATAAGCATACCAGCCTAAAATATGAATTTCTTATTTCTTACAGATAGCCGAGCTATAATCAAAAGATTTTTTTATTTAAAAAGTCTTTTCGATGTCTGTTTGCACCACAATGGGGCTTTGAAAGTAATGCATATGATTCCTATCGATCTAAACACAGAGGTAAGACAATTAAGACATGGCAAAAAAATTAGAAAAAAAAAAGCGTCCTTAAAACGGATTTCGCGGGTTATTGATTAATCTCCACATCTCGGCATGAAACATGGATAAAAAAAACATGGTGTGACTTTATTTTCAGTTTTCATTTCCGTATTACGTCACTAATTCTTACAATCTCATTGGTTTTCGGGAGATGCCACGTATACTCATTGAAGGAAACAACGTGGCAGAAGCGAAGGCGTGTAAAACCAACGCTGATCCCTTCTGTTCGCAACGTCACAGGCCCTAAAAAGATTTTTCTCGGGCCGATGTAATCTGTAGTCGATAACAATTCATGAAACGGGCCATAGGAATACAAAGGAAACTGTAAAGGATTGTTTGCATCAGGTAAGAAAGCGAGACTAAAGAAATTTCACCTTGTAGCTTCTAATGAATCACTAGTGAACGTTGCGAAAACGTGCTGGGGATTTTCTTTGTCTAAACCACATTGGGTCGGGAAAGGCCGAATTAAAAAAAAAATTCGGCTACCACTTGCGATATCTTCTTATAAATATTCTAAGTGCCGGTTCACTGGTGAAGTATTTAAGCTAATGGATTTAAATCATTTATGGGTACAAATCTTGTTTCGAGTATATTTACGTTAAAAAAGCGAACGACTATGGAAAAATCAGAACATGATAGGCCTGTATTTTCGAACCTCAAAGAACTGATATTGCTCGAGAAATCGATGAATAAATTTTGATTTGGCTTGAATTCTCACGATAAGTCAGTTTGAAATAAAGAATACATTTGAAAATGCAACTAAACCTGTCCCTGCTTAATTATATGCGCATAAATGCATTCAAAATTGTGATTATCCTCACTCCACATTGAACGAAAAAGGATGATGCTAGTGATGCTAGCTCGTTTCGAAGATGAATAGCCAAGTTTAGCTTTTGAGTAAAATCAAGGCGATGAGAATACGATAAAAATTGGGAACTATGACACAAGGGTATTTCGAATATTGTTGCTGCGTAATATGTCTGCATTCGGATCACCCAGATCAAAAATAAAATCGTAAAAGATTTCGTTGAACTGTATAATTCTTATTTCAGATCAAATATTTCCGCTGTATTAGCCAGCCAGACTTAAATGTCATTTTCATGCTTGAGCAAAACGAAATATGGACACCTCAGCGTTCAACAATTTCATCGTTCAGCAAAAGTGTTTTTCTACTTACGTAGGCATAAATCTTACGTATATTTTCGTTTCACTGTACACATCTGTCGATGTCGCCCGATTCCCGTGGTCACCACAAGGCGAATTTTCACAGCCAAAACCTTGAAAAAAAGCAGTAAATGTTTCTCATTTGATAAAACCTAACATCTGTTCGAACATGTTATCGTTGTTAATTGGCAACCTTACATAAGTTTAGTGTAATAGAAAAATAAAAATGCAAAATGCGCCTCGGTAGACCGATCGATCAGTTGCGCGGCTGAAGAAAATCTTTGGAAACCTACATACCTTAGTATCAAAATAATTTTCGCACAACTCCCATTTCTTAAACAATAATAAAAGTAAAACGAAGGATTTCTCGAGGAAAATATGGTTGATTTGTAGACTCAGCACCCTTCGTCGTTTTTTTCTCTTATTTTTGTCATATTTAATTTTATTACCAGACGTCAGCATGTGATTGGCACCCGCATAGTAAGGTTAGCAGTACCCCCACCCCGAGGAGAGACGGAAGGGAGGGAACCCTTCCCGCTACATGTAGGCTTTTGGCACTACAAGTTCTATATAAATAGTAGTCCTACTTTTCATCAAAACTCGAACGAATTCTCGCTTACCCTCTGTCTTATCTACTCGCTTAGTTGGATCTTGTTGTGGCGTTTCAGATCCATATGATCGTAGTCAGATGTTTCACATTTTGCGATCTAGCCACCAAGCTCCATGATCCTCAGTTTGTAATCATCACGGCGACACAGAGTGGATCAATTTGTTTTAAAGTAAGAGTTCGAGGCATCGCCACTTAAACGGGATAACGAGAGAAACCGTAATTTCCTTTTTAAACAAACTTTTAAGAAGAGCAAAGGTGTAAAGTCGAGGGAACGAGAAGATAGCCAAGAATTTATTTTCCGAAAATGAAATAGCTTGACAGGAAACGACAAATCGCTTGCCTATTCGACGTAGACTCACTTCTCACTTTGGTATGTATGTTTCTACTGGTCGGCCGCTGGACTGATTTCGCGGAGACCTTGTTCTTCAGTAATGACTCAGCCAATACAACACTATACGATTTCTTGATGTATCGTGCAAAGAAAAGGTCTGCCATCCACTAACAACTGACAAAGGTTTCGAAAAGGGCACGATCGTGGAAAGAACTGATTAATTAATTAATTTCATGACTGAGCTCAACTGACCAATGCCAAGTTATTCACTTACCTCAAAGCTGCTTTGTGGTTAGTACTCAAATCTTGCTCTTATTTTTCAGTGTCAAGCAAGGCGAACAGAGCTACGATTGCTTCTCTGTAAATAAAAATATATTAATTTCAATTTTAAATTTCGTTTCGAACCTCTACCAAACGTCTGGTCATTAGGGAGGGGGGACTCTTTTTTACGCTAAGTTCCCAGGTAGTCTTAAACTTCCTTAAGAGGATAGACTGTAAATATATTTGCTTAAAATTTTTTACTGCCTTCATTACAGCTAAGAATATTTTTACCATTTTTTAAAGATACTCAGCTAACAGGATGTGGAATACAATTCTGCCATTGGTGTACATGTAAGATATTTAGTTCCTAATTAAAAAGTAACATGAATAAAGAAGAAAGTTTAAATGGTTTTATCAACTGAACGAGCGTATGAGAGCGATCTTCGCAGTAACGAACACTACTTAAACAGTAGTGAAAATGAGGCCTATAAAAAATTCAGGCCTGTACGGGATTCGAACCCATGACCTTTGTGATATCGGTGCAGTAGCCAACTGGGAGATAGTCACTATGTTGGTTCCTAAGAAACCCGTGAAGGGATGAGTCAACGTTTATGAATATATGAAATTCATATATTTGAACTGCGGTTAAAAAACGAACATGAGAGCGATCTTCGCAGTAACGAACACTACTTGTTTCGTTTAGTAAATAGGCGTTGCCTATGATGACAGATATAATTTAATTAACACAACTCGTGATTGACATTAATTCCTCACAATGATTTAAAGTGTTAGCTTGTCGTGATTTAAACTAGTTTTTTCAGAAGAATCAGTGAGAGAGAAGTCGATTTTTGTATCTGTTCGCTTACCCGAATCTGCTAACCTGAAGTGAGAAACCTGTTTTTACGACCCGCCACAGAAGTAAGTTTCCAGTCATGTTTTCTTGAATTTTTCCATGAGATTAAGACTAGATTTACGTTTTCTGATTTCGAATTACAAATTTATTTCTCTTAGATCGAATAATCATTAAAGTTTGGATAATATTATACGCTTTATGGTGGTCGTCTGAGCTGACCAGTTCCGAGTAAGGAAACACTACTTAAGCAGTAGTGCTCAGTACTGCTTAAGTAGTGTTTGTTACTGCAAAGATCACTCTCACACTCGTTCTTTAACCGCAGTTCAAATATATGACTTTCATTATTCACAAACGTTTATCAACTGAGTTGTTATGTCAATTTATTACCGTAAAGAGTTTCCAAGCTGACGTTTCGAGCCTTTGTTAGAGCGAATGGAGGAGTTTTGGGTTTGTGTGTGGAGCTAGGCTATAAGGGGGAACGTACATGGTGGCGAGAAAATCAAGGATAAATTAGTTCAATGAAAAGCGTTCCTTGATAACGGATTAAGATTGCGGATTTTATAAGTTTTTCTTCTAGATGTTTTCTTCCATTCGCTCTGACGAAGGGCTAACGCTCGAAACGTCGGCTTGGAACTCTTTACGGTGGCCGATTCACTTCATCAGCTCAATTGATAAAACCAGGATTACCTTGTTAAAAATTAGATAGGTTTTGGTGGATGGTCATTAGAAAATGAAATTGCAGGTAAATTTCAAATAGTTTACTACAATTATAGTTAGCATAATCCCGAAAGGCCGACATAAATCAAAATACATCGATCACTCACGAGTGGTACCAGACAACAACGGGAAAGGATAATTTTGTCATGCTGGAAACTAGCCGCATAGTATATAACAGAATGTTGTGTTAAACTGAAAAGTGCAAAAGCGAAAGGAGTCGAACTTCATACTACGACCGAGGCACTGATTTTGATTTTTATAGCTGATGAGCTCCATAATACAAAGTTTGTTTCATGTTGTTATCTCAATCTTGAAGTTTTAGTCACCTTATATATTGTGAACCTAAGTAGCTCGAAAATCTGGCATGAGACAGCTAAGACGACGTAATAATTTTAAATTCAATTTAACACAATTGGCGAAAATTAAAAAATATCATAAAAAGTATAATTTTTGTTGTAAAATTAATTTCATACCGTGCGCCATACTATTTGACAGTTAGTTCTTGACCATCTCTGTTCGAGAGAACCAAAATAAAGTTTTATAGACACAAATATCTGCTGTTCTTCCATATAGATGGTATATATATATATATATATATATAGCTATACTAACAGGTAATAGCAGGTCTACTGTAATTGCTCCGGTGATGAAATAAATGCGTGCTCCGATTGGTCGAGGGGCGTCATATCTCACTAGGATCACCTCGCGCACGCGCGCTAAATTTTAAAATGGCTGCTTCGCGTTTTGTCATTATTGTTATTGAGGAAAAGATGAACGTACTGTCAAAGAAAATTCAATTCTGAAGTGCGCTAAAAGTGTTTTTAAGTTTGGACTAACACTTTTCAAAAGAAAGATATGAAGTTTTTGCTGATTGAATTGCATGAGTCGAAAGAACTCATCAAATTCTAATGGAAACCTGGCTCTTTAACTCGACACGAGTATCGACGAGCGATAAAGACCATTTAAACGGAATGGCTTCAAGATCGCCTCCGGCGAATATTGTTGAATAATTGACGAATGCTTGTTAAATGACTTCATCTTATCATTATCAGCCCCTGCAAGCTTTACAGCAAGGAACGTTTCACGGATTCCGTTAGTAGTAGTGCTACATAATTCTTCGTTGCCAAACATAGCGAGACCCAAGTTCATTGTTTACACCACCTTTCGCTGTAATGAGGCTGAAGTTATACCAGGTCTTGAGTATATATTAGGGACTGGTCATTATTTCTCGCCTGAGGAAGGGGTGGCATTGGAGGATTTTGGTTGTGTCGCGATAAAATTGCGTGACCCCTTCCCCCCACATAAGACTGTAATATTCTTATACTCCCTATGAACATTTACTTGCCATTTTTTTCCAAAATCCCCCTTCATAATCTGTTAACGAAGACTGATCCCCCTCCGTTCCCCTGAAAACTATGTG